TATCTTTACAAAAGCATGAAAACATCGAACTAAGGAATCTAAAAATCACTGGACAAACGAGACATCTAATAAAAAAACAAATCATCCAAATAAAATGTCCCCCACCAAAAGAATAAATTGGCCTAATAGTCACTTATTATAATCATATTAGGTATGTTTTCAAGAGAAAACAAAAAGACATTTTCCTTTTTTTTTCAAGACAGATTCCTCTGTGTTGCTCTGGCTTTCCTGGAACTCACTTTGTAGATCATTCTGGCCTTGAAGTCAATGAGATATACCTGCCTCTGCTAAGAAAGTGCTGTGTTAAAGGCCTGCACCACCACAGCCTGGCAAAAAATTATTTTAAATATACAGGTGGTGTTGTTTCTTTATTTTAAATGTTGTTTGCTTTATAATTCCTGTTTACTCAGGTAGTATTATTTTCTCCTTCTGGGTTCTCTGATGGAGCTAAAGACTCAATAATTGTAATTATGCATGTTACCAAATTGAAAATTGAACACAAAAATATATAGGGTACATGATGTGAAGAGACATAGGAACATTATTTAAGATTGGTAATACAAGTTAGGATAAAAAGAAATTTACAAACAACACCTTGGGCTTACTGAGATAGGATAGATGATAAAATATTTTCTCTAAATTTACCAAATGCAGAGGGATTGGACATTGTCAATATAATTCTTCCCAGTAAATATTACATATGTATTTATTGTATATAGCCTTACTGTGTTAGTTAAAACCTTCACTTTTTAATTAGGCTCCTGAATTTCAAAATCAGGTCTCATCAAAATTGGCCAAAAACAATTGGATAAGTTGTCTGCTGTCATTAGGTTGATTTTATTTTGCTGACTAACCCTGTTTAGATGTGTTTAAACTTTCAAATTTTGTGGAGAACAACTTTTTCAGTAGTATCTCTATTTCTTCCTTGACCTAGGGGTAGTTTGATAGAGCACTCTTCATTCTCCATGAGTTTTTAGGCTTTTTGTGATTATTGTTGTTGTTAAATTCTATCTTTAAAACAGTGATCTGATAAAACACGGGGAGTTATTTCAATGTGTGTGTGTGTGTGTGTGTGTGTGTGTGTGTGTGTGTGTGATGCGTTGCCTTGTTACCATGTTTGTAGTCCATTTTAGAGAAGATACCCCGAGGTTCGGAGAAAAAGGTATATTCTTTTGGTTTTGGGTGGAATATTCTGTAGATGTCTGTTGAGTCCATTTAAGTCAAGACATGTGTTAGTTGTCTTCTCTGTTAAGTTTCTGTCTAATTGACCTATCCATTAGGGAAGAGTAGGTTGTTGAAGTCTCCTACTAGTAATATGTGGGATTTGATGTGCATTTTAAGCTTTAGTAGTGTTTCTTTTACATATGTGGGTGTTCTTATATTTGTGGCATAGCTGTTCAGGATTGAGACTTCATCCTAATGAATTGTTCCTTTTATGAGTATGAAGTGTCCTTCATCTAATCTGACTGACTTTACTTTGAAGTCTATTTTATTTTTTTAATTAATTAATTTATTTATTTAAAATTTTTACCTCCTCCCATCCTCCCATTTCCCTTCCTCTACCCCCTCCGCCCCCTCGCTCTCCAGTCCTAAAAGAAGTCAGGGTGCCCTGCACTGTGGGAAGTCCAAGCACCCCCTCCATCCTTGGAAGATGTGCATCCAAACAGACTAGGCTCGCCAAAAGCCAGTACATGCAGTAGAATCAAAATCCAGTGTCATTATCATTGGCTTCTCAGTCTGCCCTCATTGTCAGCCACCTTCAGAGAGTCTGGTTTAATCACATGATCATTCAGACCCAGTCCAGCTGGCCTTGGTGAGCTCCCACTAGATCAGTTTTACAGTCCCTGTGGGTGGACACACTCCTCGAGGTCCTGCCTTGAAGTAATGTTGTCTTTGAGGTTTGGGTTATTTCTTCTATAAATCAAAAGGATGAATCCTGCTTTAGGATCCATTCTCTAAGCTTGTGACAATTTGTAAGTGAATTGGATCTATTGATAGTAAGAGATGTAAATGACCAGTGATTGCTACCTCCTGTTATGTTTCAGTAGTAGTGTTTGTGTGTTTCTCTTCTTTGGGTTTGTGATGTCAAGTTATCTGTTGCCTGTGTTTACAGTTAGCTTTCTTGGGTTTCCCACTAGTACTTTCTATATGACTGGATTTCATGGAATACCTTGTTTTTTCCATTGATGGTGTTTGAAAGCTTTGTTTGTTATAGTAGAGTCCTTAGTCTCTTAATGTCTTCAGCATATCTGTCCAGGGCCTTCTTTCTTTCATAGATTCCACGAAGAATTTGGGTGTTACTCTGATTGGTCTGCCTTTATATTGTAATTGACCATTGTCCTTTGCAGCCCTTAATATTCTCGCTTCATTCTATATGTTTTGCATTTTGATCATTATATGTTAGGGGGACTTTTTTGTTCAGTCTTTCTGGTGTTCCCAAAGTTTCTTGTACATTTATAGGTATACCCTTCTTTTGGTTGGAAAAGTTTTCTTCTAAGATATTTTTTTGTGACTATATTTTCTGTGCCTTTGAGTTGGTGTTCTTCTCTTTCTTCTATCCCTATTATTCTTAGGTTTGGATTTTTTTTTCATGGTGTCCTAGATTTCCAGGATGTTTCGTGTAATGTATTTGTTGGAGTTATTGTTTTCTTTCACCAATGAATCTCTTTCCTCTATAGTATCATCAGCATCTGAGATTCTTTCTCTCTTCTATCTTTTGTATTCTGTTGGTTACAATTCCTGCTGTAGTTCCTGTTTGTTTACCTAGATTTTCCATATACAGAATTCCCATCATTTGTGTTTTCTTTATTGCCTCTATTTCAGTCTTCAAGTCTTTTTTTTTTTTTTTTTTGGACAAGGTTTCTCTGTAGCTTTGGAGCCTGTCCTGGAACTGGGCCTTGTAGACCAGGCTGGACTCAAACTCACAGAGATCCGCCTCCCTCTCCCTCCCAAGTGCTGGGAATAAAGGCATACACACTACCACTGCCCAGCCCCAGTCTTTAAGTCTTTTAAGTTTTTTGCTTCACCTCTTTGATTATATTTTCTTTGTTTCTTTGAGAGATTTATTGATGTCTTCCAATTTTTGTTTGTGATTTCCTCAATATCTTTAAGGGAATTTTCATTTCCTCATCATCCTCACAAAGTTACACTGAAAATCATTTACTGTTGCTTCTTCTGGGTTAGGATGATCAAATCTTTCTGTTGTATGACCACTGGGTTCTGGTGTTACCATGTTGTTTTCTATGTTGTTGGCTGAATTCTGATATTGGCACCCATCCATCTCATCCTTCAATGGGTGCCAGCAGTGTCTTCGCCTCTTGGTCCAATATATAAAGTAGCTGATTTTGTTTTTGAGAACTTTTCTTGGCCTAGTCTGTGTTTCAGAGAGCAACACCTCAGAGGTCTGTCTTTGCCCTCTGTCTTGGCCTGCTCTTTTGGTCTGCTCTCCTGGGTCATTCTCTTGGTCCAGTCTGTGCAGTTCATTGAATGAACAACCTCCCAGAAAAGATCATGTATGTGAACAAGTTTCTCTCCTTGGTGGCCTTTCTTTCAATTTCCTATGACCCTTTAGTAGGAAAGGCCTTTCTAGATGAAATGCCTCACTGTATGTGATGAGTCTCAATATCTTTAACTAATTTACTGACTTTTATGTCTACTGTGTTGTTGTTGGAATTAATCAGTCAGCTTCCCACTCATACTGAAATGTTTTTATTATCATAATAGGCTTGATCTGTGAATCATATAAAATAGTTGCTGTTCAGTGCTAAGGAGTTTGGTAGCCTGCAGTTTTAATTGTTTTGTTTGCTTGTCTGAGTAACCTTTGCTGTGTAGCTCCAAATTATGAAATTAAAGGGAGGGGGGCTTCATTCATGGCTTTATTTGTTTTTATGTTGTTGGATGATGACCCTGGAATGTAGGCTTTTTACATGTCAATCATATGCTGCTGTGCTCAGCTTCGTACATATCGTGAATTTTAAATTCGGCAGAGGGTATCATTCTGATTCCCAGGATTCCATGTATTCATGACATTAATACTGCCTGAGCATTCTGAGTCATTGAGTTGCAGGTGCATGAACTTCTTTCTGCTGGTTGTGCTTGCTGTTATTTTTTTACTCAATTTGACTATTTTATGTGTCTGCATGGATATGCACCATATGGGCACTCTGTCATCGGAGTGATCAAAGGTTCTCAGAAATCCTGACCTTGGAATAATAAGTAGTTGTGATCCCCATGTAAGTACTGGTAATTGTGCCCACCTCTTTTCAAGACCAGGAAGAGCTCAGAAGTACTCAGCCATGTTTCCAGATCTGTGTTAATTTGTTATGCCCAACATTGATATAGCTAATGTTTTCACCTGTCAATTTGTAATTATTTTAAACATGAAGTAGCTTTTCATAAAATATTTTTGGTATTGCAGTTGAAAATAGGAAATTTTAACTGTCTGGAATATGAATACAGATCTGGAATGAATGCATAATTCTTTGTAGGAACTTCAGTAAATATCTCTGAATTCTTTCTATCTTATTTGTTTGTTTCCGATTTTTGCAATAGAGTTAGGGTCTTACTGTGTATTTCCACCGGTCCTAAAAATGATTCCATAGACTTGGCTGGCATTCAACTCAGAGACAAAATATACACAACTATGCTTTCTGAGTGCTGTGCTTAAAGGCATGCGTCAATACACCCACTTTGCCCACTGTATTTTTCTTTTTTGTAATTAGTATTTCTTCATATAATTTTCTCAGTGTACTATGTCCTGTTTATCTGTTTCCTTGGTTCTCTATATTAATAGGAAGTTCTTTTGTAAGGTGATATCCCATTCAAAGAGTAAAGAAATGACAGAGGTGACTTCTAATCAATTTCCTTCTAAAGTGATTATCTGTGTCATGTAATAATAGTGAGGAACACCAAAATTTTATGACTATACTGGCAAAGATGTATTGATTTACAATGTTGTCACCTTTCTGCTTTCCATTATGAACATGAATGAAATATTTTAGAGAGCAGTGACCTATGATGATGTGCATATCAACTTTACTCGAGAAGAGTGGAATTTGCTGGGTCCTTCCCAGAAGAATCTCTACAAAGATGTGATGCTGGAGACCTACAGGAACCTCGCAACTATAGGTAGAAATGAATTTCCTTTATGTTTCAAACTAAGGGGACAACTTTTTCTTGGTTAATAATGTTCTTCAGTAATTTATTTAAAAACAATAAGAATTAGTTGGATAAAGCAGTCATGGTTCTAAGGGTCCCCTAAGATAACAGCTTAAACATTGCACAATTTTCAATAATATAATATACATTTTCTGGTATTATATTTTAGGATGCATTTGGGAAGACCATAATACTGAAGAACATTGTCCATCTTCTAGAAGACATGAAAGGTAATTTTCTTGTGAGAGCTTATAACAATGTGCCTCTGATGAAATTTTTCTGTGTCCTGAAAGTTTTAGTCTAAAGCAACACTGTAAATAAGCACAGTTTTAAGTGTGCTGACAGTTATCAAATTCTCACAAATCCATAAGTCATATGTAATTATCACTTGAATGACCTTCTTTTAAGAAAGCAATGGCTACAAAAAAATCACCTTTTGAGGCATAGCACCATGAGAGCTTTGTTGTAGATCTGCAAATACATTTCTTTCTTGCTACTCATAATACAAAAGGTATACACATTGAAGATGATAAGTATATCTGCAAAACTTTGTAAAACAAAACAATAGCCCATAGTAAATCTTGTATTACTCATACACCTCTTGTGACTGTGATAAGTTTAGTGATAGAAGCAGTTAGAGTTGAGTCATGTGGCAGTTGTACTGCAGAAACCCTAATATCTATACCACCAGTCTGTGAGGAACAGCAAGTCAAAACCTAAGAATTCAGTGTGGAAATCTCTTGTTATTCTTCTTTACTATGTATACCACACATTCTTCTTGATTCAAGTGTATGAGCATAGGGATATAGAGAGATGTAGCATCCCACTCTCTAAGAATAATCTGATAACTAGTAGCAACATGTTGAGTATACTTGTTGAATTTGATTCAAGTATACCATTAATTGTTTTTCTACCATCATTGTTAATACATGAACAAACTCACACTGCAAAAAAGCTGTATGAGTTCTACAACAGTACAAATAGTTCTGGGTTTGCTAGTTGACATAGTATATGCCATGTGATTCACAGTATAGGAGAATTCATGAATGTTAAAGCTCTGAGTTTATCCATTTCTCTTCCTATAGAAAAACGTTTCAGGGAAGGTAAAATGGTAAGCCATAAAAGAAAGGAATTTGCCATTGGAGGTATCTTCCAAGTTGCAAACAAGTGTCTAATTAGAGAGCAAAACATAAGTTTGGACACAGTTATAAAAACTTAGTATCTGATTCTTTTTTATAGTAGGACTATATTATAAAATTAATTCATACAAATGTCTAGGCACAACAGTGTATTGAATGTGGTAAAGCTTTTATATGTGCGAATTATCCTTGCAGGATTGAAAGAATTCAAGCTGGAGAAAAACTTTCAGTAGATATTCAACAAGGTGAACCCTTGACACATGTCAGTCACCTTAAATGGAATGAAAGAACACATACTGGAGAGAAACCCTATGCAAGTAATCAGTGTGGTAAGGCCTTTGCAGATCACAGTACTCTTCAAACCCATAAAAGAACACATACTAGAGAGAAACCTTATGAATGTACTCAGTGTGGTAAGGCCTTTGCATGTTACAGTGGTCTTCGATACCATGGAAGAACACATACTGGAGAGAAACCCTATGAATGCAATCAGTGTGGTAAGGCCTTTGTACGGTACAGTGCTCTTGAATACCATGGAAGAACACATACTGGAGAGAAACCCTATGAATGTAACCAGTGTGGCAAGGCCTTTGCAGCTCACAGTCATCTTCAATCCCATAAGAGAACACACACAGGAGAGAAACCATATGAATGTAATCAGTGTGGTAAGGCCTTTGCAAATCAGAGTAATCTTCAAAACCATAAAAGAACACATACTGGAGAGAAACCATATGAATGTAATCAGTGTGGTAAGGCCTTTGCAGCTAAGAGTAATCTTAAAAACCATCAAAGAACACATCTTGGAGAGAAACCATATGAATGTAATCAATGTGGTAAGGCCTTTGCATTTCAGGGAACTCTTCAACACCATCAAAGAACACATACTGGTGAAAAGCCCTATGAATGTACTCAGTGTCGTAAGGCCTTTGCACGTCATCATCATCTTCAATTGCATAAAAGAACACATACTGGAGAGAAACCTTTTGAATGTAATCAGTGTGGTAAGGCCTTTGCAAATCAGAGTAATCTTCAAAACCATAAAAGAACACATACTGGAGAGAAACCTTATGAATGTACTCAGTGTGGTAAGACCTTTGCTCAATACAATCATCTTAAAAGCCATAAAAGAACCCATACTGGAGAGAAACCCTATGAATGTAATCAGTGTGGTAAGGCCTTTGCAGAGAACAGTCATCTTCAAAGGCATAAAAGAAAACATACTGGTGAGAAACCCTATGAATGCAATCAGTGTGGTAAGGCCTTTGTACAACACAGTAATCTTCAAAGTCATCAAAGAACACACACTGGAGAAAAACCATATGAATGTAGTCAGTGTGGTAAGGCCTTTGCAGAGAACAGTCATCTTCAAAGGCATAAAAATTCTCACCATAGATAGAAACTCTGAATTTATTCAGTGTGAGAAGGCCTTTGTAGCACACGATCAACTTCAAAGTCATAAAAGAACAGATACTGGAGAGAAACCCTATGAATGTAATCAGTGTGATATGAAATTTGTAGCTCACAGTAATCTTAAAAGGCATAAAAGATCTCATCATAGATAGAAACTCTTTGATTGTAATCAGTGTGGTAAGGGCTTTGAACAACACAGTGATCTCTAAAGGCATAAAAGAACATATAAAAGAGAGAAACCCCATTGACATATTCAGCCTTTGCAGATCACAGTAATGTTTAAAGGCTTAAAAGAGTAAGAATCATTATGAATGTAATCAGTGTGATAAAGCCCTTTTATATTTTATTCATCATTAAATGCATAATCTCCTGTATGTGAGAACAACCATGATTGAAATCTATGTGGTAAATCCTTTGTCACAATCAACCATTCAGGAGAGAAAGTATGAATTTAATGAATGTAGGCTTCAAAAACATAAAAACATCATACTGCATTGAAACTCTGTGAATAAATTCAGTTAGTCAAGTAACCATTACTCTAGTGTTTTAAATGTGTTAAATTCTATTTAGATCAATTTTAAGACTAAAATTGTAATTCCTATTCATGAAAAGAAATGTTAATGCCTTTTTTAAAATTATTTATTTATTATGTATACAATATTCTGTCTGTGTGTATGTCTGCAGGCCAGAAGAGGGCACCAGACCTCATTACAGATGGTTGTGAGCCACTATGTGGTTGCTGGGAATTGAACTCAGGACCTTTAGAAGAGCAGGCAATGCTCTTAACCACTGAGCCATCTGTCCAGCCCCCAATGTTAATGCCTTTAAACATCACAGATTTCTTCAGGTTCAACATAAATTATTTTCATCATAGCCTTGCAGGAAGTAAATTATAAACCATGTTTAGTCAAGACTGATGGAGGAGATAATTGCATTGTGGTTTCTATTTTTAAACATTTGAGGTAGTCAGTAGAGTGTGATATATGTGTGGCAAATTCATTTAGTGAAGTTTATTTTGTAGACTTTGTATTCCTTCTATGACTTTTGTTCATATTCTGTTGTGCCTGTACCATGTGATAGGTATTTTTCTTCTGTAATATATATAATGGAGCCCCTATCATGTAATTTGCCCATTGGTTATTGAAATATCAGGCCACGTTTGATCACACTTTTCACATAACGGTGGTGGATTGTGTTTCCGGTTTTGATTTTCATCTTTTCACAAATTTCATTGAAATTTTTTGTTTGATATTCATCTTACCTTGGATGTCAGTAATGATTCAGGGATACATTTGAACTCATGATGCTTATTTGTCTTACTCTTGAGTACAAATCCAAGGATAGATGATGTATATCCAATGTACTGTGATTTCAAGAGAATTTAACAATGTAAATGTTAAAATAACTGATTAAAAATATAAGAAACTTTAAACACCTCATGTGTGTATTCAACGAAGTATTTTCATTTATCTGATATGGATGTAATAATTTATGAAAATCAGCAAACATCTGTATATGTAATTCCATAGCTTGATGTTCTACAGGAATTGAGGTAAGGTCTTTAGTCTTGCTCACAACAGTGCTTTCCCAATGAGCCATTACATTGGTGCTCAAATTCAATGTGAAAAAATATTACAACAGTAAAATTTGTTCATTTTGAGGAGTAGACATTTATTTATAATACTTTCTCAGGACCAATATTATACACCAGAAAATTGTCTCATTTAGTAAACTTATAGTTCATTGCTGCCAAGTCTGATGACCTGGTATCTATCTCTGGGTTATATACAATACGTCTACAATTTTTTTCACATTTCTTCACTTCAGCAGTGACACATAGACACTTCTCTAAGAGTTCATTCATGAATAATATTTAAACCCAAAGAAGTGCCATTTAGGTCTTTTGTAGTCAAATGTCTCCATTGGATTAATCATTAGAATTCACACAGCAGAAGTAGATCATAGACCCCTGTTAGTTTTCCTGTCAGTGCTACATACACATAATGACACAGGTGAATTCACACAGTCACACTTCAATTTTTTTTAAATGGATGGAATTAACAACACAATGAAAATAACCCATTATTGAGAGTGTGTGAAAAGATTTGGTCATTTAAATTATAGAACTTCAAGAAACATTGCTATTCATCAGAACAATGATGCTCCTTTTTGTATATTATTTTATTATTTTTTTCTATGATTCAATGAGAAGTCCTTAAAACACATATTTCAACTGGACTTAGAGGTATAGGGCTATAATTACAGCTCACAGGAGTGTGGGTCGACTGATCTTAGTGAGGCCTGCTAGTTCCCCATAATAAATTCCTGGCCTCCATGGCTATGTGGAGGTATTCTGTCTCAAAAATTCCAAAAAAAAAAAAAGCCTATCTCAAATTATGGAACTTTTGCTAATAAAATCAGGCTGGACTCAGACTGATTTCAACCAACCTTTTTTTTAATCTTCACTTACATAAAAAAGAACTGTGATAACAATAACCATAAAGAGTATTGAAATTCCATTTACATTCAGTCTAGGAAATCATTTGACAGCCGTCTAGAGGACATTTAGATCCTTCAAGTGCTATGAGACAGAAGGAACAGTGGGGCACCTTCACCTTCAGCTTTATAATGACACATGTGGAAACGGGAGAGTTGTCTCAGGAGTACTGATCCTCTTTAGTACCCAAGTTCAAGTCGTAGCACCACATCTGATTGATCAGAACTCCCTGTCATTGCAGACATAGAAGATCTGATGTCTTATTCTGGTCTCCTAGGGCACCAGATATGCAAATGCTGAAAGAACATGTATGTATTTGACTCTTTATTTTAGTAGATATTTTTTGTTTGCCTCATGTTTTAGAAAAGAATGAAATTGAATTTAGATGTAAAAGTTTGACCAGTGAATATATCAAAGGTATCCCAGGTACCAGTGGTGACAAGAAGATAGTGTCTAATTCCCTGCGACTGGAGGTACAGACAGTTGTGGGTAGTAAATCTCAATGTTCGGCCCTGTGAATGAGTCTTCAGTGTTCTAGGTGCTGAGTCTTTTATTCAGCCTCATGAACATGTCATTAATAACAGTGATGTGGGAAAGGCTGGTATAATAAGTTCATCTTTTACTCAGGCTTGATGACCCAGAAGAAATAAATAATCGATAGCACCAGAAACTAACTTAGACTTGGTTCTTTTTGAATTTCTGATCATCATGCATTGTCAAAAAATTTTTCATTTGTTAGTTTTTTGTTTTGTTTCATTTTTCAAGACAGGGTTTCTCTGTAGCTTTGGGTCCTGTCCTGAAACTAGCTCTTGCAGACTAGGATGGTCGTGAAGTCACAGAGATCACCTGCCTGTGCCTCACGAATGCTGGGATTAAAGGTATGCACCACTATCGCCTGGGTTCTCCCATCCCATTTTAAATTGTTCACAGTATAACCCTGGGCTTGACTCCAAAACAGACTTAAAGATGATAACTTATGTGGAATGCAAAATCTGTTCCAGCCTGGCTCCTCATTTTAAAATTAACTACCCCAGATGCCTGGTGTTATTACAGAGATTTTGTTTATTAAACTTTTAAGTTTGTGAAATGATTTATGCAGATGAAGGCATATTATTCTTGAACATCAGTATCTCCAGTTGTAACAAAATGTTTCTGAACCAGAAGTTCTTATGTTGGATCATGTGGCATTGATCTCACTCCATTGTTCCCCAGAAACAAGCTTGTTCTCCTCATGATTAAACCAACTAAATTCTTAGGTTAAAGAACTCAATCATCACTCAGTTATAAAATTACAAATTTGAGTCATGTATTCAAGTAATAGAAATAGGATTTGTGTGTGCAGCACGGTTTTTGCGTTCATACCATAATAGGTGGAATAGTTTACTATGTACACATAGGGGAAACAGTGAAGGCAAACAGTTGTAGAGTCACCATTATGAAATACAGTATGATTCTAGATGGTTATGGGATTTTGTTTTTCCCAGCATGTATTGATTCATGTCATATAAATGAAATCAGGCCAGATTTCTGTATACAACGTAGAGGTTAATAGAACCAATTAATATGGAATTTTTAAGAAGGAGCTCTCATATACAGATATGTTCAATTTTGCTCTCATTATTACATCCATTAGCTGTAACTGCATATTTCAGGTGACAGGTCTCAGCAGCTAACATTACATATAAGCGCAGGGTAAATTAATATCTTATGAATGCCATTCCCTCTGCCAGGGAATGATTTTCTCTTTTGCAAAGCCAATTTAGCTATGTGTTTTTTTAGTTATATTTGTTTTTTAAAAATAATTATGGGTTTCAATTTTTAAATTTGAATTCCTTTAAATTTATCCTTGTTCTACTTTCTTATTTATTTCTGTTCTTCATTGCTTCTACATCATTAAGAATTTCTTTCTTGTTTTCTCAAGTTATGTTGATTATTTCTGTTTAGAGCAATGTCTTCTGTAGCTTAGGCTTGCCTTACAGTAAGCAGTGTGAGAATTCATTTGAACTCATAATCCTGCTTCTGTCACCCAGTGCCAGAAAGAAAGTCCTGCAACTGCTTCAAGCATGGGCCTTACCTGGGCAGTGAGAAGGAAAAATAGACCAGTAAATGAGTGTGCTCCATTGTAAGAATTGAGTTCAATGGCCAAATGGAAAACATATGTAGTCCCAGCAGAAAAAGGCGTAGACAAGAAGGAGCATAAAAACTTCCCTCTTTTGAAAGTAGTGTATATTAGAAGT